AAGCTTTCATCGAAAGGAAATGTTGGACACGTATTCCGAAAGAGCATCAAATTCTGATTCTAACTAACTGGTTTTTGTTCTCAGAAGTCGTTTCTAAGTGACCTAAAAATGGATGAACATTTTGTACAAAGACTTTTTAGACAAAGGTTAATTTGGTGTTATCTTGCGTAGTTCTCGCAATTTTCAGATGACTGTTTTTGCATTCGATAGAGGAGATGCTTATGTAAGCCATAAGCTTAAAATATACATCTACAACATAAATTATCCGTCTTTAGTTATCATAATTAAATTTTCATCGGTTGACCGTTCAGAAATTCGCACTGAATATGACAGATAAGAAGTTGATATATTTTGCTCTCCTATATATACATAATCTAGATGTAAAACAATAAAAGTTCATATCACACTATATGCAGACTTTCTCTCGACAATCTCTCCCGAAAGCACTCTTCTGCTTTGAAGAGCCTTTTCTCTTTTTCCTGCGTTTATTATACGGGCTTTGCCACCATTCGTCTGTTATATTTTTGTCGTTTCTTTTTCTCTATTTTGATATGAGGCACAAAATATATCACACTAAATAAATGCCATGGAAATGAAACGTAAACATCGACTGGTTGTTCCATCTCTTTCTATTCGCTTTAAGTTTAGTTTAAAAACAAAGAAAACACAGCCAGTGTGAACCTATATATATGGGTGAGAGAAAAAAAGGTGAATTAACATCAACACATAAAAAGTTGTTATCCTTTGAGAGTATTTCTTAGAAATATAGACTTGCAGTTTACATAAATATGGCTCAAGAGGATATTAGCTATGTAAGTATCCAGCTTATTTGTTCGCAAAAACGGGAAAGCATTTGTAGTCCATAGAAAAACGGGAACTTTTGAGCCATCATCTTCATCGGGAAAAAAACTAGGACTAAAAATTCATTACATATTGCAGTGATTTGTTACTATCAGATGATAGTAACAGGAAAGTTATACAGTCATCTGACGGTATGCCTTAACAGATGTAGACTTTTAAAAGTAGTTAAACAGAACTTTCATTTCTTTTTCAGCTAGAACATTTAAAAATCTATTTAGACGAATTAGAAACATTGATATTAAATGCTGAACAGGATTTAAATTTATCATCTCATCTGTTCTTGGAAAAAGGAAAGGTACAAACGTTGATCAAATTAATTGATAGTAAGTTGCAATGTTTTATGTTTAAGAATGAAAAAAAGAAATTGTTTCTGTGTTTAGGTGGCTGGCTTAACATAGATTAATGGCATCAAAACATTTTGATAAGAAATTTTTTTATAAAGTAGTTTATGTACTAAAATAAAAGAATTAATGTTAATGTATTTCATGAGAAACTCACGTAATAAGAGCGCAATATAGATGCCGATGATTTTGTTTGGGTAAACACTTCCTGGCTGACTTTTAGGGTACTGGTTTCTATCAGCCTGTAGAATTATGTAGATGTTTATTTCAGGCAGACACGATTATTCATTTTAGGAAAATGCCAGATAAAAGATTAAGCGTTAGTTGTGTACTGTGTTACTTGTATGAAAATTATATATTTCACATTTTATAAATATAAGACTGTTCTGCTCTAATTTAGTTCACTTGTTCTAACAGTCTGTATTTTTAATTTTTTTTTAAAAATGACATACAGTATATGTATAATGACAAATGGACCCATTCAAGAATTTCACATCGACAATGATCAAGTGGAAATAGTCAAAGAGTTCATTTTCTTGGGCTCTAGTATAAACACCGATGGTAACTGCAGTAATGAAATTAAAAGAAGAC